GGCTAAAGGGTGAGGTTTAATTAATTTAGAAAGTTTCATTTAGATTTCTATTTTAATAATTTTGGCTGTCAAAAAAAGTGGGGGGGCTAAAGCCCCCCAGCCCCCCCGTCTCCGCGGTCCCTGTGACGGGGCTGTTTATATGAGGCATGCTATCTCGGGTACCCGAGCTAGTTCGCTTTAGGCGGCCTGTCACAGGAGATTCGCCCCCCCCCAGGAGATTCGCCCCCTCTCAAAAGGGGGGCAATATTCCTAGGATATTCGCCCTCCCGGGGCGAATCTCCTAGGAATATCGCCCCCCAGGGGGCGAATCTCCTAGGAATATCGCCCCCCTTTGGGAATTTCGCCCCCCCATATTAATTTTGAATTTTTGATCTAAAAACAAAACGATTGCAAGTTGAAAAGATTCATTGCGTGATTTATTTATTACAAGGAGATAAAATTACATACAATAGCCGCCACATACAATAGCCGCGTTTTTAAAATCATTGCGACGCTTGCGATGTGGTTCTTGCGATAATTACGATTTAATGGTGGTGCCCACGCGTGAGCGTGGGATACTATAATATCCCACGGTGGATCTGCGTGGGATATTATTCCAATATTATTAGTGCGATCTTCATTGGACAATTTGAATTTGAGGTATAATATTTATATATAGTGCCCTGCGGTGAATGCTTCTCATTTGCTCATCAAAATGCACTCATGGTGGATCTTGTCTAAAAGTACACACGAGTGACCCGAGTGACCACGAATGACCACGAGTGACCACGAATGACCACAAGTGACCACGAGTGACCACGAATGACCATGAGTAATTTCTGTGTTTAAAAATCATAAAATAATAATAAAAAGGTGCATGGCTCCCTAAGGTTATTGCATTATACTCATAGAAATAATAGATTATCTATTAAAAATAGATATTAGGGACCGGTCATTATTTATGACAGGGGTGGGGGCCGAAGAGAAAGTATAATGAAGCCGGAAAAAATCATTACCCCACCTTTTTCAAAACAAGATTTCTAGCTACCCCACCGGTGGAATGCCAGAAAATTTTTTTACCCCACCCAAACCTATTTTGTTGCAATGTCAAAGGTTCAGACATAAAATATGTAATGAAACAGTTTAGTATTTTGTATGTGTATTACTCATCAAGGTACAAAATTGCCCTTGATGAGTAACATCATCTGCTGTTAGAGAGTAAATAATAATTATTATTGGGTGCTTTGACCACAGTGGCCATTATAATTAAAAGGGAATAGGATTGATTGGTAATACTTGTTTACCAATATATCCCTTGCCCCTTATTTCTTGTGGAGTAATTAAAGCACACTAACAGTCATGCCTTATTATGGGTTACCCCTACAATAGCAAGGTGTTATATAAAGAATTATAGTTATCTGAAAGCTTAAAATTTGTCTACTTGTAAAATTGAAATATGAATGGGTTTTTATAGTTTGTATTCAATGCTATATTCCCTTTTCACGAGATAGTGTAATGCTAGTCCCATAAACATATATTAAACATGCACTGATATAGAACCTGTACAGCATGTATTTCAATATTTTAGAACACTAACCGTATTTCACCACCCTATCTCTTTCCCACTTTAAAGTTTCAATGTATATAATTTGGTTTCTTTCACATTCTTGCATTTCTTTATTAATTAAAATGCAATTTAATTTTTATTTTCAAACAGTTTCACAAAATATGTGCTCACCCATGATTGCAACTATCTAAATTCTAAAATTTCCTTTGAAATTCCTTTAACATTTCCTTACTATAGACAATCACATGTATTATGATCACGGAATTTTAAAGGAATTCCTTAAGAATTCCCAAGGAATTCTTGAAGTTTATGAAATCAATTTAATATTTTAATTTGTAAACAATACAACAATACTAAAGCATATGTCCCATGTGAGAATATCTGAATTTAGAAAATGATGTTACTGTAAATTAATGAGAAAAAGTTGCTGTTATACAGTGTGAAGATAAAGATATTCATCCAAATTCCAAGTATGATTATATAAACAATTAAATTAATCTTAGCCCGCGTGCAGGCCCAAGGGAGCAGGCTCAAGGGATCTTGATAGTGGGCCTGCAAGCAAGGCCCGGTATTTTGTACTTTCCGCGTTCGTCCACGAACGCGGCATTCTGATTGGCTGTTTGCTGTTGGATTCTATAATTAGGTCAGTGATTCATCACAAAGGGCTCTCGAAATTCTCTCGATAG